CATTACACAAGTGGGGGCTACCATTATAGCCCCCCTTGTGTAATGGTAGCCCCCACTTGTGTAATGGTAGGGAAACACTGAACTTTACATCATATTTGATTATTATGGTTGGTAAGGAGATTCTGATAGTGTTGGTTTGTTCATCCAACTATCCATACATCCATCATCCATATATTCATCATCCATCCATTGATACATCCATCCATCATCCATCTATCCATCCATATATTCATCATCCATCCATTGATACATCCATCCATCTATCATCCATCCATCCATCCATCATCATCCATCCATCCATCATCCATCCATCCATCCATCATCATCCATCCATCCATCATCCATTGATACATCCATCCATCATCCATCCATCCAGTGATACATCCATCCATCCATCATTCATCCATCCATCCATCATTCATCATCCATTGATACATCCATCCATCTATCATCCATCCATCCATCCATCCATCATCATCCATCCATCCATCATCCATTGATACATCCATCCATCATCCATCCATCCAGTGATACATCCATCCATCCATCATTCATCCATCCATCCATCATTCATCATCCATTGATACATCCATCCATCTATCATCCATCCATCCATCCATCCATCATCATCCATCCATTCATCATCCATTGATACATCCATCCATCATCCATCCATCATTCATCCATCCATCCATCATTCATCATCCATTGATACATCCATCCATCATCCATCCATCCATCCATTGATACATCCATCCATCATTCATCATCCATCCATCCATCATCCATCCATCCAGTGGTACATCCATCCATCATCCATCCATCCATTGATACATCCATCCATCATTCATCATCCATCCATCCATCATCCATCCATCCAGTGGTACATCCATCCATCATCCATCCATCCATTGATACATCCATTCATCATTCATCATCCATCCATCATCCATCCATCATCCATCCATCTATTGATACATCCATTCATCATTCATCATCCATCCATCATTCATCATCCATCCATCCATCCATTCATCCATCCATCAGCAGTTTGTTTAGGAGCTGAACCTGTCAATCACCAGGAACATCATGAAGCTGAAATCTTCTCTGAGGTTAAATATTGATGATGTTTCTGATCTGAGGAGGAACAGATGAAAGTTTGGAAGTAAAACGTGTGTCAGCAGAAACTGAAGCTGAACGTCTGTTATTAACTGAAGAAGTGACCAGCAGCCGCAGCAGATTCTTTTTAAAACTGTTTCCTCTGATGTTGGTTCAGGTTTTTTAATAATGCATGTTGTTGAAAGAGGCGGAGCTTCTCGTGTGGAGTCTAATGATCTGGATTTTCTTCTTCTCTGGTGTCTGCAGCTTGCCTCTGCGGTTTTGGGTGAACATCCTGAGGAACCCTCACTTCATCTTCGACGTGCACGTGACGGAGGTGGTGGACGCGTCGCTGCACGTCATCGCTCAGACCTTCATGGACGCCTGCACCAAGACGGAGCACAAACTCAGCAGAGTCAGTCCTCCAGGTTTTACTGAACACTGGATGAGCCGAGGCAGGGTGGTCCGGTCAGTAACCTCCTCTTTGTTTCCAGGAGTCTCCCAGCAACAAGCTGCTTTATGCTAAAGAGATCTCCACGTATAAGAAGATGGTGGACGAGTGAGTTTTTACTGAACGTTCAGRCTCCTGTTAGAAACCAGCTGTTCTGAATGATGTCGTGTCGTCAACAGTTACTACAGAGGCATCAGCCAGATGGTTCCAGTCAGCGACCAGGACATGAACACACACCTGGCCGAGGTGTCCCGGGTACGAGTCCCTCTGTGTTAGGAAAATATACACTCCTGGAGATGACCATTTTATAAATATTAACCTGTTTTAACCAGGTTTTTACAACTTATTTCTATTTTAGACTCAACATGTAAAGTTCAGATCTTTTACAGTGGAGTTATGAACCGTCAATATCTTACCTGTAGCAGATGGCTTTTAGGATGACCTCAGTTTGGAGAAAGTAAATCTAATGTAGGTAGAACTTGAAGTTGAAGCTCCGCCCCCTTTATGTAAACCAATTGGACCTTAGTAAAAACTTAAAATATGCTGCAGATTTTTTATTGTGGATTAGCATATTGACATGTTTAAATATTAATTATTCGAACTTTATGTTTAATTTTCTTTTTCACAGTTAAGACAAGTCATTTGACACCATGACTGTCAAAACTTTAAAAAGTTTTTAATTATAAAATATAAGGGGTTCCTGCAGATTCTTAAAAAGTCTTAAAAGGCATCAGTCCAAAAATAAGGCCTTAATTAGCCTTAAAATGTCTTAAATCAATCTTTCAGAGG